CGTGGAAACCAGGTGGGGGCGTGTGTCGTAGGTCGTTCGGTGTGGAACAGTCGGCCCACAGGGTCTATCTATATGGGCAAACACGCGGAAGGAATGCAGGTGAAGGACCTCGAATAGGAGTCAAGCAGTCCTTGTACGCCAATTTGCTTCGCTCGTGTGCTATTAGGCACAGGAATCCTAGGAATCCGGTCGATCGCGTCCTTCCGATACCACGTTCCGACTGCGAACGTCCTTTGCCTTCGATAAGGAATTCCTTGGAGAAAGTTAATGGACTGTACTTAGCGGCTTGTTCCACTCGCTTCGTATGCACCTTTGTAGCTCGACGCAATAGACAAGATAATGCTGTTCCGTGGTGTGACGGTGTTTCGTGGCGGTGCATAAAAGTTCATTTCTTACGGTTAATTTGTTCCGAGTATAATCATACGAGCATAGAATTCCTCTGTCCCGTGGCGGAGATTCGAATGGCTATTTCTATCTTGGACTAAAATAGTGAATGCTCGTCACCGAGAACACGTAGGCGTGTTTAGATGCCATTTTCATCGCTAATCGTACGAACGAATCGAGACAAGGATGAAGGAAGAGACTATGGGGTGTCCACCACCCTTAACTCCCACGCCATCCGGCCGAGTGACGTCAACTTTTTAGTTACACAAGCTTGCGCGATTCGTCTGCTTTCGGTCAATTTTCGAGTTTAATCATTTAAAGCGCTATTGTCACGCGTTCCATGACCACGCGATGAGTCAAATTCTTCTTCGTTGGATCCCTACTGAATCTCTACGCACAAGATCGTCACGCGTTACATTTCTATGCGTCGAATTCCTAAGCGTTGAATCTCTATGCGTAAAATCTCTGTGCATTAGGTCGCCACGCGTTAAATCCCTATGCGATGAATCCCTACGTAGAATCTCCGAGCGTTGAATTTCTATGTATTACATTGCCGAGCGTTAGATCCCTCCGCGTAGAATCTCTGCGGAAAAACTCCCACGCGACGGATCCCCACGGATTACATCTCTACTCGAAATATAGAAATAACCTCCATAACCGTCTGCCCACACAAGGATTAAATTCGTCACGCACACTTTGTCAAGTCGACCGAACGTAAACCAAGGCAAATGTCACTCGATGGTCGAACAGGATTGACGCTATAAGTAGATGTAAATTATGCACGTTTAACTGGGTGCTTTTAATTAGATCCAGACTAAAGGTCATTGCGTGTATCCGCAATTACGACCTACCTCCTGATCAATATAATCGGATTGAATGGAACTCAGGGTCTGATTGATGCTCGTTAGAACCCTAATTTTGTCTGTCTGTTACAGGCGAGCTGTACGTGGAGGACCTGGGCGAGAGAAGGATCGTTTCCATCAGAATGGGTTGGCTTTGGGTCGAGGGTACTCCGATGAGGTTACCATTGAGGGCGTTGAACTTACGCCAAGCACCACCCAGTTTGTGTCAACCTCACGCCCTGGCTCTTGGTTTCATGCTGAGCAATTCGCAGAATCGCACCCTCGCCACTTTTTGGGTAAATCAGACGTTTCTTTCATGTTTGAAACAAAGCGAGACGCGTACAGTTATGCCACCGCTCTTTCACGAAATACCGATAGCGATAACCGGAGGCTGAATTTGCATTCGGGTTAGCTCGAGAATTTCTGTCGAATTCAGCTCTAAAAGCGAGACGAAGAAAAATTGCCACGGGAAATGATTGGGTTATGTATTGCATAGCAGTTGAAGGGTTAAGTAACAGTCGTTAAAGACACGAGCTATCGCGACTGAAAACGAGGAAGAAATGGTGAAATGCTGGACGGAGAGGGAGGAGACAGAATAATCCGCTGCAACACGCAATGTAATTGCATGTAAATGGCCTTTATCTCCAGCACGATCCGTTTCCTTGCCCGTAAACACTTTCTCGCTTCGGTCGGCTTCGGAGAGCTCCCGTTTTACTTACAACGAAATGCAATTTCTAATTACGGTCTAGCTACGTCGCCATTCGATTTCTATCGGGTTATACAATCTTGCTGGCCTAGACTCCGCCAAAAATATCGATTTGTACGACTTTCTCCGTCCGGCTTTGCATTAATAAGAATCCCGGTTGAACTTTGATCAAGGTTCGAAAAGAAATCGTGAAGCGATACGACGCTATCTTCGGAAATGTTAAATTGATAAGAAATTGACGGATATTCTCACGAAGGTCGACGAATAAGATAAAATGAAACGCGAAGGACGCGTAGGAATGACGTAAGTTGGATCCGTCCGAGGCAAGGATGGTAATAAGGTCAGTAGGCAAGGTCAAAATCCGCCGTCGCGATCTCGACGATTAACGAACGCGTGGGAGATCCGTGCGCCGTTCTCCCATGACCCACCATTGTCAAGGAGTCCCACCATCCTCCTTTCCTGGCGAACGAGTTCCTTCGCCACCGTAGGCTTAGTCATTCAAAGGACGTCCGTGCGGTCATCTCGTTACATCTTGATGGAGCCTACGTCGAATCGCTTTCCTTGGACATCCTAGTAATTGCTCGTCATTCATCCAACTATCCTTAATCCCACAGTTAATCGACGATTACGACTATTCAAAATAAACAGCATTTCAATTGAGTTTATTTCGATACTTTACTTTTGCAATCAAGTAACGCGAAAAATTTTAATAGGTAAAAATATTGCATCCCCAAAATTAATGTTAACGTGTTTTCTTATTAACAGGCCGACACGGAGCCAATCTACTGGTCCTGGGTGAGGGCGATCGCAGCAGAGTTGGTCAGACAAACACCCTTCCGGGCGCAACGTTGCCTGAACTTCTTAGAGATCCTAACCATCTGTCCGCGAGGTCCAGTTCCATTGCCCGACAGCCCTACAGAGTCCAGGAGACGTTCTCGAAGCGAATTGCGTTGTTGGCCGAGCGATTCACCGATCGATAAGGACACTAGAACGGCCACCATTCTCGAGGAATCCCGGCGAAGAGCGAGGAGCGAGTTGAGGGGATGGTCCAGCAGTAACTCGAGCGACGAGGATCTTCTCGGCGATTTTCGTGGAATACCGACGATAATAACGAAGGATCAGCCGATAAGGACTTGGGGATGCAGCGAGAGCAGCGAAGGAAGCGACGATAGCCTTCCTTGGGGTGGGGTGTGTCGTTCCAGCGTAGACTCCGTGGATTCTACGGTATCCATTCCCGAGCCGGAGACCAGAGAGCAAAGGATTCAAAGATACAAGGAAGCTAGACGGAGAGAAAACGAGGCCAGGAGTAGAAGGGTCCTAGAGGAGGACGCCAGAAGACGGAAGGCGAGAGCCGAAGAGAATAACAACGATATCCTGAAGACCTACGGTACCGGCAGATCTAGGAGCAGAATATACGCTGGCAACGATAACGACGATTATTGTCTATCGCTGCTGAAGAAAGAGAACAACTCTTACGATTCGTCGAGACTGAAGAACGAGAAGAACATCAACAATAGACTACCGCCAGTGAAGCCGAACGAGACCTCGTCGGTGAGGTTCGAGGACGATCACAGAAACGAGGACGACGAAAAGAACAACAATAGCCCCAAACATACCAATAACGCGAGTCCTGGGATACTTCGAACGGATATCACCGAGAGGAGGAGCAGAGCCAGGGAGAGGAGAAGCGTCCGAGAAAAGGGGCTGTTGCAGGCGCAGCAGCTGACGAGCACCACCGTCGAAACTCTTCAGGAACGCAAGGAACGTCTGGCCCAGTTGTCGTCCAGGATACCGGTGGCTCGTCAACTATGTCTGAATTCAGTCAAACCTGAAAACTGTAACTCTCCCATTCTACCAAGGTCGTCGACTTCCCTGTCGGTCCTAACCGAACCACCCTGCGAAGAAGACGTAGCCAGACTGCTAGAACGATGTCAGAGGGTGGATCACTACGTGCCAGTTCGAGAGAAGCTAACGTTGTTCGAATCTCTGTCGAGACTAGGCGGTCGACTAGCGAGGAGCACAGAAGATCTGGGTCGAACCTCGTCGAAACCGAGTCCCAGAGGAAAGCAACGCGCCAGATCTCTTCACGATCTGAACAGAGGAGTGAGGGCTGTTCCTGTCAGGGAGATGTGTCGATTCTTCGAGGGAGACGTGGAGCAAGAGCAAAAGTCTCTTAGCAAAACGAGGTTCAGTGACCCTGTGACACCCACGAGGAACAATTGGAAGGACACTTCGAGTACGAAGGGCAACGAGGCACCTTGCGTTAGGTCGTCTACTAGGAAGAAACACTACTTGAAGTAGTTTAGAGCATTTAAAGGATCAAATCTTTCTTCGGTTGTATCCTGGTGATCTGTTGTCCCTTCAAGGGAATTGCTAGCTTTCGAAAGCTGGTCTTTCAGAAAAATATCGAGTCGAGATACACCAGGATGTTTCGAAACTTTGGAAATTCGCCGCGTTCTTTCAGATTCGTCTCGTGCAGAGGTCAGGAGTTTCTTCCCGGAGGGAATTCGTTAAGATACCACTTTGCGGAATTTGAGCGCGTAACTCCTGTTGCTCCTGTAAAGCCCCGGGAGCAAACTTCTGAGCTGCGCACGGTATTTGAAGAGTAGCTAAACGGGATCAATGTTTATCAACGGTTTAGCCTCGAACGCGCTCCGTTGACCGCGACGAATCGTCACACTCGTGTCGGGAGAAAGTCGCTGCCCGGAGCAGCCTTTTTGCTCTTCAGGATCCGAACTGTGCTCGATTCTCGCCGCGACCGTAACGTTCCGTTCGACTATCGATACGAGCAGCCACGACGACGCGTTTACGAAAAACACGAAAATTTTTCCTTTATTACGCGGGCAAAGAACGAGATCGATTAAAATATAAGAGAGAGGATAGGAGAGACTTTTTCGATGATTTTGTTCGTTTAATTTTTTCAAACGACGATTGATCCGCTAGACGATCAATATTTATAATTGTTAATTTTGTACATAAAAAAATTGTATTTGTTTGCAATCGTTGGCAAGTACCTGAGTTTGCGATTCATTGATCGCGAGGGAGTTGTAAATAATTTCGAATATCCGTCTCTACGCGCAAACTAATGTCGACTTCCGTTCGCTTCCAATCGGGACGATCATTTCCGTTCGTGTTTTTCCCCTGCTCTCTCGTTCCTCTTTTTTTCGATGGGTTCAATTGGGTCGTGCGAACGATTCTTCAACCATAAATACACGCCGTGTCTCGCAACTTGGTTGTTCGTACGATTTAATTACAATGAAACAAAGAACGACGGTGTTTATGCAACGAACAATATTAATTTCATTTGTTTGGAAGCGGCGAGAGTAGCGACTTTATCGATTATCGATATCCACGAATCGTTGAATTAGTGCCAAAAAAATGTTACGTTTCCTCGAGGAACAGAAAGAAAAGCGAATAATTTTTGTACATACTTATTTCTTTTAGGATTAAATTGTTCATACGAGAAAGAAGAAAATAACTTCGTTGTTTCGTGTTTCGTGTCTTCAATGTTTGAGATCGCGGAAGAGATGACCGATAGAGAGTTGCTTTTTCTGCGATCTACAAAATGATTATTTATTTATATATGTATAGAAACGTGTTAGCAATAGTCGCGTTAGGTTGATTCTATGAGAATCGACGATACTGATCGTGAACGAGAATTTTGTTGTACGGTAAATTAATCCAGAACGAAGCGTCGCCTTCGCAAATCAAAGATTCGCCCGTTTATTTTCGTATTTTCTCGATGGGGTTACTCGCGTATTCCGTAGAAAGGTATATAAGATTTGCGATTTCGTGTGCTTTGTCTATAAACCTGTAAACTTGACGAAAGTATAATGGGAAGAACGTTAGTACGATGATCGATGACGGGAATGATTATTTAAACTTATGGCGAATTGATCGAGCCTTCTCGGCTAACGCTAGAACGATCGGTATCGAATTTACGTTTACCTACTTCTGCACTGGAAATAGAATGAATTAGTTCGATCCGCGCGAACGAAAGAATTTTAATTAAAATATTGGTAATTTCAATTAAAAGATTGATTATCGTAAGGGCTTCGATCGTTCTAGCGTTAAAGATTACACGTTCGTAGAATTTCTAGCTGATCAACTAGTTAATTTGAAGGAACTGTTTAGTGAATTGTCGAAACACGAGCGAAGGGGATATTTTAGAAAGGAAAGATTATAGGCGAAAAGTGTAACCGACCAGCAAGGTTCGATCGAGACGTCGATGCAAGCCGACGACCGCGTTACAGGGTGAATGGTGGAACAACCCCTTGCGCTCGGATATCTTATCCTTTAAGATACATTCTTTCTCTTGCCAATAAATGGAAGGCTATTCTGTGCACGCACAAGAGAAGCACGTGGTGCTGGCACAGGTCGATGAACAAGCCTGTCTGTAAAAAATGAAGCGATTCCGAGCGGTTGGACAGGCGAACGTGAGAAGTCATCCAAGCGCAGAGGGTTGCCCTGTCGAGCGGGTGAAAAAATGGAAAAACTCGAGTCCGGAGAAGATGAAGAAGACGTTGTTGCTCCTCTTCTGCGGAAACCCTGTAAAACCGGTCGATCGCCAAAGAGTCCTCTAGTCCCCCGGTCGGAGAAATCCGAAAAGGTTATAATATACACGTGTATCCCTCTTGATCGTGTGTTAACCCCTTGCGTGTACCGTCAGATAAAATTCACAGCTACGTATGTAAATACTATTCGATTATGACGCGATTAAAAATTTAATCGCGATCTTTAAAACGAACCTCTCGTGATTCTTTGGTCATTGCCATCGCGTAAGGGGTTAACGTAACAACAACCCCTTTGAACTTTGTAATCAGACACACAATCTATCGGTGTTCTACGGTAACCATACATATACACGTACACGTACATATACGAACACGTACACACATAGTCCGACAGATTTGTATTTTACGTTTGTTGTAATAAAAAGAAGGGACGAATAATGGCCGTTACATAAAAGTGATTGTCGTTAGAAAGTTCAACGAAAAGGCCTTGGCCAATCTCATGCCGTCTCTGTTTTTACTCCGACTGCATGTACCCCCTCCTCTTTACCGCGTACGCTCTTTTATTTCTTTTACACGAACGCCCACGCGATGATTTTCCTTTTCCCGTCCACGATTTTCGCCTCGCTCCTATGAAACCCGCGCGTCCGAGCACGCGCTAACTCGCGCCGCTAATTAGCGCGCGTTTTCGTAAGATCGCGAGCAGAGATTAACGAATGAACTTTAGAAAAGGAGAGGAGACGCTTGTGCAACTATGCAACACCGTGAAATTATGTTATGGGGAGTGCTACCGCTGTTCTCTTAGCCCACGAGAAAGTGGACCGATTACCTACCGTGCTGTTTTTCTTTAATTGCCTGCTAAATGTAATACTAATCGATACGTATACGTCGCTACTTTAAATTATACCCCCTTCGTATGTTTTCATTTTGAAAAAAGATAGACCCCTCTAATTTATATCACATAAATTTTTGATCTTTAAAAAAATTTCAGTACCTATCGATTTGGATCCTCGTAATTAGAAGATTCATACCGAAAATGAAGCGTATTAACCCATGCACGAGCCAGACAGCCTCGACCATTAATAAAATTGAACGAATTTATGGTCACGAAGGTCGTCGTTTTTTCTGGTCGAATGCAGAGTGTCCTCCATCACGGACCTCGTCGTTACATTACTCTCGTTTATTTGGTATTGCCCGTGAACTCGTTCTTGCGTTTTGCAGGATCGTCAACTTCGCGTTTCGCGTGTAATTTTCATTCCACTCACGGGTGGAATACGGCTGAAAAATAGAATGTTCTCGCGGGGAATCGACCAAAGGACTACTATAATTTATACTATAATTTATTTGCCGGCTTTAATGAAGTTAAATATTGCGATAAATTTAACGATGTCGTTAAGCAGACTCGAGAGTCTGGTTAATGGTTTGAGTACGGTTTATCTGAACATCAAGTTGGATCGTAAAAAGGTTCCCGAGGAGCTTCTGCGAGACCTAAAGTAGATTCGAAGAGGATAAGAAAACGCGCCTCGTGAAATGTGAACTGAAGTATCGCGATCGTAACAGCTATTTATTATGATTCATATTTCTCGCATCAGAGAAGTAGGCTGTTACGAAGACTTTTAATTAAATTAACGACTATTATTGGAGCTTTCTGGTCATCAATCATCGCGGGCTATTATATTTTTCAATTGCCCTAATATCAATTCTTTGATATATAGTCAATTCGATTCATTCTTTCGCACACTCATGGCAATTTAAACGATAAAACTTTATCGTAGACATTCGTCGCGAAGAAATTCGACGCGTGGATCTAGCATATAGGAATCCAACGATCAAGAAGTTCGTACGTGGAAATCCAGCTTGTGCAGGTTCAACGCGTAAGGACCTGACACATAGAAATCTAGCGTGTGGAAATCCAGCATGTGGAGATCCAACGCGTAAGGATCTCACGCATAGAAATCTAACGCGTGGAAATCCAACATATGGAGATTCAACGCGCAAGGACCTGACACATAGAAATCTAACGCGTGGAAATCCAGCATGTGGAGATCCAACGCGTAAGGATCTGACGCATAGAAATCTAGCGTGTGGAGATCCAACGCCTAAGGACTTGATACATAGAAATCTAACGCGTGGAAATCCAGCATATGGGGATCCAGCGCGCAAGGACCTGACACATAGAAATCTAGCGTGTGGAGATCCAGCATATGGGGATCCAGCGCGCAAGGACCTGACACATAGAAATCTAACGCGTGGAAATCCAGCATATGGGGATCCAGCGCGCAAGGACCTGACACATAGAAATCTAACGCGTGGAAATCCAGCATATGGGGATCCAGCGCGCAAGGACCTGACACATAGAAATCTAACGCGTGGAAATCCAGCATATGGGGATCCAGCGCGCAAGGACCTGACACATAGAAATCTAGCGTGTGGAGATCCAGCATATGGAGATTCAACGCGCAAGGACCTGACACATAGAAATCTAACGCGTGGAGATCCAGCATGTGGAGATCCAACGCGCAAGGACCTGACACATAGAAATCTAGCGTGTGGAGATCCAGCATGTGGAGATCCAACGCGCAAGGACCTGACACATAGAAATCTAGCGTGTGGAGATCCAGCATATGGAGATCCAGCGCGTAAGGATCTGACACATAGAAATCTAACGCGTGGAAATCCAGCATATGGGGATCCAACGCGCAAGAACATGACACATAGAAATCTAACGCGTCGAGATCCCCAGCATATGAGAATCCAACGCGCAAGGACTCGATACGTAAAAATCCAGTGCATGGAGATCCAGGAGGTAGAAATCTAACGCATGGTAATTCAACTCGTGACGACACAGCGCCAATATGACCGATCACAAGTTCAAATCTTGGAGCGTGGAGAGGTCGTTGACCATACGGAACCGCGTTTCTTGCTAGCGTAAAGGATTTTTTCATATCGTTATCCGGAGCTCTTTCTTCTCTTTCGAGTGTCGATAAAGCGTGTCAGGTGTGACGCGTTAAAACAGCCGACGTAGACTCAAAGCTGGCAAGCTTGCTGTGTCCAGCATGCGCGGTTTCACGTTGGGCGTTGAAGAAACGCGGCTAATCGAGTGACTGGCCTTGACAGTTGCCGGTATACTAACCACGAAACAGGTACACGTACTTGTACACGTTCTGCATAAACACGTTGCGCTCGTGATTCCCTGATCTATCGATTGATAGCTTGGCTAGCTTTTCAAATGAACTTACTGCGAACGAAATCGAGTCACTATTTACTCGTTATTTATCTGATCGCTAAGTAGAGTGAACTGGTAGCTTGGAAACGGTTGTTTGGAACGTTCGTGAAGAACTCACTACGAGTACTGCTTCTCTGTTATTACAAAGGAAGTAATTTCTGTCTATATTTCTCAAAATATACCTCACTCTTACAAAACGTAACGATCGATAAATTTGTGGTAGATATCCAGATTAGTAGTTCAAAAAGAAAATCAGAGAGAAAGATCTGGAAGATTGCATGCAATGAAACTGCATCCCCCTGTCTCGAATACCATAAAATATTAAAAGAATCTGTCGTCGATCACTTGAAGACCTCTTAGAGTTCGTAAATTATTAACAATTGTAAATGTACAGCAGCTACATCTGGTGCATAAAATGGAACACAAAGCCTACACACCGTCTTTTTTCGAAAACCACGTTTTATCCATCGGGTCGAAGAAGAAAGAAACATCGCCATCTAGTATAGAATTTCTGAAGAATAATCGTCTCTCGAGAATCGATACATGACTTATGAATATTCAAAACGCTGTCCATGCTCGATGAAAGCGTGGACAATGAAACTGTACTAATTAACCATGCAGTTATTTATTAATGTCATTGCTGCTAAAAATAATCATCTGCGACGTAAATAAACGCTTTACAGCTTTTACGATGCGCATTCTTAAAGTTAACCAAAACCAAAGAACATCGGTGTAACATATTCTGATATTCGAATGCGTTTATACTTTCTTGCAGGTTTTATTGCGTAACGTAATCACTAAACCTTGATAAATTACTCATTGTTTGTATTAGATTTCCATATAAAATATCAAGTTCGTTATTTACCTTCGCATTAGCAGATCGACGTTTCGAGAACGTAAAAATGCGCAATTCGATATAAGAAATGTAAAAATTAAATTCGAAAATGAAGAATATGCAGGGATCGAGCTTGACTTTAGGTAGACGTGCATATACAAGTCGTTGAAGATGAATAATTGAAGGAGTTTGCCAGAAACGTGAGTAATCACGGTCGAAGATTTCGTGCTCGAATAACGTAAACAAGGTTTGAAAGCGGGAATCGCGCAGTCCATTCAAAAGTGGCATAGCCCGATCCAATAATATCTTGAAAAGAGCAGACCGAGAGGACCCCGACCGACGATAATAGACCCGGTTCTATTCGCGCCTAGTTCTCGGTATTTACACGACAATATTATTCGCCAGTCGCGAACACAGAGAAGAGAAGAACAACACAGGGAAAGAGATACAAAGCAAGAGAGAAAGGGTAGAGTACTCGTATTAGAGGAGAACGAGTTAGGTTAAAGTCGATCGCTTTCAGTACGCGACGAGACATCTTTCGGTGTGGTTCTCTACCAATTCGCGTACGATTTCGTTCGTCGTTTTGTTGCCGTTTCCTTTTTCGACAGTCAAGTCCCGGCTACGCAATAAAAACGGTGGCACCGGTGCGTTCGACGACACACAAGTAAATAAGAAATCGGCTTCTTACCAGCCGTTCGCTATGAACGAGAGGGATCTTCAATTGGCCAAAACGATGGTGGACCTGGAACTGGACGACAACGCGCCGAAAAAGACGCCCGTCTCCAAAATGTTGGATAAACATCAAACCTTCAGGTGAGACAATATTCTTCCTTCTCCTTTTCGCGTAAAGTACCGATTATACCTTGTATTATTTAAGAAAGTTGTTGCCTCGTAAAAGATCGTGACGCGTTTTCATACGATCGAGAAAACGATCGTTGGAATCGATAGGTCGTTCCTGCGGTTATTCAACTTAGTTCCGCTCGCGGAATTCCGTTTTGAATTGCAATAACCATGCGCGTCGTTGGAATATATGTATATATTGTTCGCTTTTGTTATTGTGTTGGGCCGTTGTTCGATGTGCAATTAATAGGAACGCTTTTTCTGAAAATAAATTGGCAAACCAGCTCGTGTAGTTGCTTCGTTTAACGCGACAGGCAGACATCGATGTAGTCGTTTTAAAAATAAATTGGTGTTCATTGATCGAAACGATTCCAAGATTCATAGGTCGCCTTTTTCTATGAATATGAACAAGAATTATCCTTGAAGTATAACGTGTAAAAGTCAAGGACATACATAGTGACGTTTCATAGGTATCGATTGAAGAGTATTAAGGTCACCGGGTGCTCGCGGTTCTATCCTCAAGTGCGATGGTGGTGTAAT